ATTAGTTATTTTGTCCCTTTATGTAAGGCAGTAGAATTAGTTAAGATAATGAAAACAAACGTACAAGATTTTTTTGTCCACAGAAAATTTATCTAAATGACACGTAAAGGAGTGTAAGTGGAAATTAAGACCTGTTATCTTTATTATTAATATGGTAACATTTTTTTTTCCTGATGGTACCCTATTTTAAGCCATTGCTACATTTTAACAAGAGTGCAAGAAGAGCTTTAAACCATCTTCATTTTTGATCACAATGGAGAAATATACTAAGGTAAATTGCTGAATCAAAACAGACCTCAGATCATGTTCTCAAGAGTACCTGCAGTGTATTTAATCCATTAAAGTGACTTAATGAAATGGATTGACAAATATTTCATACTAAGAATGAGAAGTGTAAGGGTCACCAAATAAATATCAGTACCAGAGTGGCAGAGAGGGACAGAATTTTGTCAATCTGTGGCATAAATGAGGGTCTGTTTCTTCCATGTGCAATTTCAAATACTATGTCAGCTACAGCCAGTTCAAACCCCAATGAGTGGCTGTGATGGATCTTGGTGAGATCCCATGGCACCAGTGCTGCTGTCCCTCCTGTCTGTTCTCTGTGGCTGTGGAAAGATTTACTGAGAAGTTCAGTATGTACATTAAAAAACTAAAAAAAAAAATATATATATATATATATATATATATATATATATATATATATATATGTATATATTATATAGTATATACAAACATATATTTTTAATATATTTATATATTATAGATATATAGATATTTTCTAGATATTATATTTTATATATATTTACTGAGAAGTTCAGTATATATATTTTTTAAAATATAATATATAATATATAAACTATATTATATATTTATATAATATATTATATACTATATGTAAATATATATTCTATATATATTTTATATATATAGTATATTATATTTTATAACATATATATACTATGTAGATATATTATATATGTTATATTATTAATATTTTATATTTTATTATATATATATATTTCCTGAGAAGTTCAGTATATCTAAAATCATCGAGACCCTGTGTGTTGTTACCACAGTGTCACTATCTGGGATACCCAGGCACAGAGCTCTCCAATGGCTAAAATGCCAAAATAATCAAGAAAGGCAGCAAGAAAATAATTCTTGGCTTCTTTCCTTTCTCCATTTCTTGCTTTCCTTCTTTTAAACATGAGCTTCTCTGCACTTCTCATTGCAGGAAATGCCTTCATTTCTCTTCTCTTTTTTCATTTGCACCCCAAGGTGTGTAGAGTGTGTCTCAACCAACCCTGCCTTCAGTACTCCTGGGGCCCCTTAGGAAGTTTCAAGCTCTGGCATTGTTTCATCTGGTAATGGGCAAGAGTTTGGTGAATTTTTTTGTCAGCATACTGCTGGCAAAATGCTCTTGATGCTGTTTCAGTGGTCCTAAAAGTACAAGAGAGACAGAGTTAGGTGATGATAGGGGTTCCCTATAAGGGATTCTTTATATTATCCTTTCTAAGGTTATCCCTATAGATAGATTAGATAGATATATCCCTATAGATAGATAGACATATCCTTATAAATAAGGATTATCCTTCATAAGGGTCCTTATAGCACACAGCACACTCGATGGAAAGTGCCAAAGATGCACATGTAACATAAAGCAGATACAATTTTTATTTGTTTATCAAATTACCATAACTGACAAGAGTCCCCAGTTAGAGGCATAATGATGAAGTAACTCCTCCCTGCTTCTACCCTTTGCTGAAACCCTGCACCCTCTTGGACAGGAGCTAAAGTTTCTTTATGAAAATGTGTCTCAGAGAGCTGGTTTCAGCCTTGGCTCCCAGAGAGCCAAACCTTGGATCCCCAGGGCTTGGAGCCCCCAGGGTATTTATTTCTGTCTGATAGAGTGGGTAAAATGCTGGCTATGGATACAATAATAGGCTACAGAGCTACAAATATATATGTAAAGAATATTGAGAATATATAAAGGCAAAAATCAACTTGGCATCACTCTGAATAGCAATACTGACAGACACTGAAATACAGATTTTAGACAAGGTATTTTAATATGTATCCTTTTAAATTTCATGGTCTGTTTTATCTGTCAGAAGTTTAGAGATGACACTTCTCTTGGTGGTTTTTTTCCCCTCTTATACACAGCTAGATACATATGAACTGAACATACATATTTAAAAGCAGAAGAAACCATGGTAAAAGTACCACATGAGCTATTTCAAAATTAGAAAATGTCATGATTGCTTTTGCTTGAGTGTGTGTGTATCAATGATCTTTCTGGAGTATTCCATTGCTGAAAGGCTCTCACTGCTAGAGCACAGAGAGCAGACATTGCTGAAGGAATTTTTGGGCTTGTGGTGGAGACTTTCCTTTGTGGCTTCTTTGGGTCTCTGCATTCTCTTGCTCCAGGTACCAAGTGGCATTTGAACAACCCCTGACTGACAGGGTTTTCTGAATTAAAATAGAAAATGCCAAGAAAGCTTGTCTGAGGGCATCACTACCTTCAACACCTAAAGCAAAAGTGATCCAGCTGCCAGAGACAGATCTGTGTAATAAATAAAGATTATAAATAATAACAGCATGCTCACAGGGGCCTGACAGACATTGTCCTGTGATGGAAGACCAGAGAATGAGGGGTTGGTTATTTGCTTCTATTTGTTCTGTGGGGTTTTTTCATATTAACAGAGGAGGTTATTTTCTAGGAAATAGAGCCACTATGTAGAGAACAGTAGCGTGGGTTTGTTGTAAAATGGAGGTGATTCTTCCAGTTACTGATAGGGCTTCTTTTGGAAAGCCCCTTTTGTTGTATTTGAAATCAAAATACACCAAGTCTGAAAAAATGCATTCACTTGGAAATGCACACAGGCTGTGACGTTCCTGTGGCACAACCTCTTCACCCTCTTTATTTGTGTTGCTTTTGTTACACACTTGTAATAACATTTGTCATGTAACAGCCTTTCTGAAAAGCCAGCAGCAACAATAAACACTTTTCACTTCCTATCCTGTTAAATATCTAGTTCAATCAAGAAAGAACTGAATGATTAAGAAGTTCAAGGAAGAATGGCAGCTGGGAAGTGCAGTTTCACTTTGGAGTTTTTCTTCTCAGGAGCATTAAGGAGCCTTTCCCTCAGTGAGTGCCACCAGCCCCTTGTCTCTTTATCCAAGGTCATCTTGTTCCATGAACCTTTGTAAAACTTAATGGCATTGCCCTCTCAGAGAAATTTAATTGAAGTTATCCAATGGGTTAAAAAGTGATTGATACCATTCATTAAAAAGGAATGAATAGACATATATATAAAATATCCTTGGTATGCTCATTTCAGTTTTCCTATGGAAAATAGGCCAGAAATCTCTCCCTGGTGCCAGTTCTGGGAAAGTCTTTTACATACAGATTTTTGTACTCAACATCAGTCATTGTTGCATCAGATGCTTTGAATTCAGCAGTGTAACTTAAACCTTCCAGGCTCTCTGTGATGTTGGTGCCTGTCCTTTAGTTAGAAAAGCTTGGACAGGGCTTGATAAGAGGAAAAAGCCACAGAGGGGAGGGAAAAAATACAAACAGATCTCATCAATTGTCCTGACTACTGTGTTATTTGACACTGCATTAATAAATTGGGATAATTGCCTAATAGCATATTACTACAGAAGATTAAGGTGTGTTCTAGCTCATAACTTAATCAGGAAAATCAAGATTTGGCATTGAAATTCTTAGTTGTCTCTAGACCCTATAAGGCATATCTACCCCAAGAGCTTCTGTAGCTAAGAGAGCTTAGAAACTGAGCAGTGTCCTGGCAGAGCAAAGAGATGCATTGTGTGTCACAGACATCAGGCTGAAAATGCCTGGGCTTTGTATGATGGAATTCTGGAGAAAAAAATCGAGGTAGTTAAAATTGCTGCAGCTCTGAGTTGAAAATATTTACACAGGGTCCCTGAGGAATGCTCATCTTTGGTGCTTGGTGGTGATGGCAGTGAGGTGGCTGTGGATCTTTAGTAAAATAATAATAATTTATCTGACTTTCAGTATTTTCTCATTTCTTTTGTTGTTGTTGATAAGGGTGAGAAGCAAAGAAAAAACAGCTCAGCGGTGTGAGAATTCAAATTGTCATTATTTTCCTGTGTACCTCAGAGGGTTTTCAAGGCATTTTGCCTTTTTGAAGTGGCTAACCCTCACTTCTGACATACTAGGGCAGATAAGGAGGCTTCATGACATCTTCAACCAACTGAAACATTTCCAGGCATCAGAACAAAAACCATCCAGAGTAACAAATGAAAGTGAGTGAAACAATGGGTGCAGTCTTAAGGATGATTGTCCTCAGCAGGAATTTTAGTTTCTCCTGGGACTGGAGCAAAGGGAAGCTTTCTCAGGGGGAAGGTCTGTACTGTGTTGGTATTTGAAGTGTGTAAAGCCCAAATCTTAGAGGAGCCACCATGGTTGGTGGTGACTCTTCACCCACTCATCCAAACAGGAGTAGAATGACTGTACTGAAAGAATTAGAGTTTCTAACTGGGAACTTCCTTGAGGCTTGGTTGCAACTCTTGAAAAAGTGACTGCTGGTTTGGGCAGGGCTTGGACTTGTGCCTGGCCAAGGCTTTGGGGTGGTGAGGAGCTCTCAGAGGGCAGCACAGATGACTCAGGAGCCTGTGCACAGCCAGCCCTGTGCCTTGGGTGACAACCTTGACTCTCACAACCGACTGGCAGAAACCGACAGCACCAGGACTGGGCATTGAGGCAGTTTTGGTTTGTTCTATTTTTACTTTGCTCTTTTGGGGCAGCCCCCCTCCCCCTTCCTTCTAAATTGTTTCCTCAGCTCAATTGAGTCTCAAAGGCTGCTTGTCTTGAGCAGCTGTGATGTCTCTGGACTGAAGGAACAGGCAAGGAGCATGACTTGGTGGGACTGTGGAAGGGTCTCAGCCTCCAGAAGGGACAAGCCATCTGTGTCACCTGCAGGGCTGGCAGCCAGGGGCATCTAACAGCCCCTCAGATGGCTGCCTGCAGCCTGCCTCTGGGACTGTGGCTGCTGCTGCTGCTCCAGGACATCCAGACCACCCCACAGGTAAGGCAGGGGACACCAGGAGCCTGCCTGGTGAGCTCTGGGGCACCTGGGGGTGCAGAGTCACCCTGCCCTCAGCTGGGTGTTGGGTGGGTGTCCACACAAGCAGGGTTTGTGCAGCACTGTGGGTTAAAGGCATAAAGCAGAGCAGCCAGGGGAGTTTGCCCTCTCTGGGATCTTTGCAGGCAGGAGTGTGGGATAGGAGCTGGGATCTGCATCTGGTTGGCACTGCTGGAGCTGCTGCAGCTCCAGGCACATAATCAACAAGTGAGAGTTCTCTGAGGAGAAAAAGAAACAAAACAGCTTGGGAGTGAGGAAAGGTTTCATAGGGCTGGGGTTTTTTTTTATTTTTCCTGTGTGCTCAGTGCCAGGCACATCCTTACAGAGCTTGGGTCAGGGGCTGCTGCCCACTCTGCTGATGCAAGTCAGGAGAGGCAAATTGAAAGGTGTGGAGGCTAAACAATAATAGACCTTTTCCTTTACACCCCCCTCACCCTACTGACACTGACTTCCTCATGAATCCACTACTATTTCTGAATCAAAAATCACTTCAAATAGACACAACCCACTAGCTGCACTCAGCTGATGCTGTAGATGCACAGCAGCTCCCTGCTCTAATCTTATCAGCTCTTGTGGGTTTGCTTCCACCCACACACTGCCACTGATCCCCTCCTCCCGTGGATCACATGGCAGCCAGCCCTCAGCACCTGGCATAAATCCAGGTGATTTCCCTCGCTGACACTGTAAAATTCACATTTAAAGAGCAGAAAGGTCAGGCACAGAGAGGCTGCCCAGGTGAGGTCAAGTAGGTGAGTTTTTGCATGGTGTTGGATCAGAAATGAGCTATATCCCCTTAGAGTGGAAATACCAGCATGTATTGGCCTAAAACACCTGTCAGTACATGGGAACTAAAAACTCCAGCACTTCACTTGGGCTGCCAGATTATTTTACAAGACACTGACTCCAGTGAAATCTTTGAAAATAACCAAGTTCTGTGCCCTCTTCATAGACATTGAAAAAGATCCCCCTGGTTCTTTTGGTAGGAGTGGGAGTTTGCTGTTGTGTCCTCTGTTGTAAATTCCCCTCCCACATTGTGAATTTGGGTTACTTTCCCCACGTTATGTGTCCTGCCACTGTCTCCTCCCTGAGGTACAGAGGGATGAGTGTTCTGTGGGGCTGGAGTCTGCAATCCTTGCTCACCAGGGGAATGCTTGGGAAGGGATTCAGATCAGCTTCTCCAGTGTGCTGAATGCAACTGCTTCAGGAGGAAAGCCAGCAGAAACAAAAAGATGATATTCTTCCTCTTTGACATCACTTTTGGTGGTTTGTTCACAAAATGAATGGGGCAGAGAGAAAATTTGGTTTTCTGACACTCATTGTCAATATTCAGAGTCACTGAATAAAATTATCACAGACCTTTCTGGGAGGAGGACCTGGCTCTGCACTCTCCTGCAGCAATATTTGCTCTTACTGCTAATGGAGTACAAGTGATACTTTCTAATGTGAGCAAGTCACTCTTTAGTGGTCATATTTCTAAACCATGTTCCATCTTACCTCAGTCCACAGTTTGGGTTTTGTTTCTTTTTATATTCAGAGAACTCTCACTTGTTATAATGTCTTTACTATTAAGCAAATGAAGCTTGACTGCTTGAAGCTGTAGATTATCAGCTTTTTCTGTGCTGTCAGAATTTGGATAGAAGCTTGACAGGCAGTTAACTGTTTTGCTGCAGTATTAGTCAGTTCTAGAATAGCCACTGCTGGTAGATTTTTTTCTTTTTTACTGTAATATGCTTTCTTCCTGACTTACAGCTCATTTGTAGCAAGCCCCATTTCTTACTCTGCCTCACATCACTTTTTCTCTATGAGTTCAAAAAACCATAAATAAATGAGTCAAACCTTGTCCTGACTGAATTGCAGAGTAGCCAGTGAATTCAGCACCACTTTTACAGCTCCATTTTTTAAATTGGAATAGCAAACATTTCTGTAGAAAGTCAGAAGAGCTGTAAAAAGCCTATTTCCTAAAACAAATTCTCTCAAGCAAGTGCTGAAAAACCCAAATACCTTTGATCTATATGTTTGCTTTATTTAATTGGTCCTTGATCTTCAATGCATTCAGAAAAGAAAAACAAAATTGTTGACTTGCTGAGTGACTGAAAGCTCTGAACCAGTGCATTCCTGTGCATGATGTCCCAGAGCAGTCCAGGCAGGATAGGAATTCTCATCTTTCCTTTCACAAGATCTGTCCCAGCTCCTGCTAAATCCAAAGCCTTTATTTGAACAGAAAGTCAGAGAGAAGGATAAATACCTACTGTCCACCACAGCCACATGCCTTACTGCAACACGTGTGTGATCTTGCAGTGTTAAAGGGTTTTTTATAATTCACATTTACAAACAGAAGTCTAAGTTCCAATGGCAATTGCAGATTTATTGCAATAAAACTGGTACTTCTTCATGACCCCTTAGAGGAGGGGGATGCTGGGGTTAAAGGGTTTTAATGTTAAAGGTTTTTTTTATAATACACATTTACAAACAGAAGTCTAAGTTCTCATGGCAATTGCAGATGTTATTGCAATAAAACTGGTATTTCTTCATTGACCCCTCAGGGAGTGCTGGGGACCAACCTTCCTGCTGAGTTAAGAGCAGAACTTTGCATCATTGTGTTGCTGTTACAGGTCACATTAGGAGTCAAACAGCTTCAGAATTCGGAGGGACAAAGATGACAGGGATGGGGGCATGGTGACTGATGCTGAGCACTGACATGAATGTTATTTATCACTGAAAGGATCTGTGCTAATTTTTACACTCATGAAACACCTCTACTGAGCAGATGCTGACTTACAGGCATTTTGCTTATGCATTAGATGTGATGGGGTCCTCAGAAGGTGATTTCCCAGTCATAGACATCCTGCTGTGATTTGTTAAAATGCATTTCTGCTGGATTAAGGGGTTTTTTTTGATTTTGAGATGGGGTAATTGTGAAAAACACCCATCACTTGTTTTTAGAATTTTTAAAGTTTAACAGTAATAAAATGGTTATAAAAATAGCAATATAATTAGAATAATAAAAATTTGAACAATTAGGATTTAGGACAATATGAGACAATAAAAACAAAGAGTTAGGGACACTCCAGGGGCTTTTCTGGGCAGCATAAGCCCGAAAAAAGACCCACGTTGACAGAGGATTAACCCTTAAAAGCAACAGCCTGTTGCATATTCATACACCTCACACATGATGCATAAATTCCATCCAAACACAGGATTCTGTCTGGGCAGTGTCAGCTTCTTCCTCTGAATCCTAATGGTGTTTTCAGGGCTGAGCAAGGCAGGAAGAAGTTCATTTCTTCTGATAATGGAGCAATAAATTCTCTTTCTCTGAAAGATCCAGGTGTCCTGTGGCTGCTATCTCAGTGGGAGCACCTCATTCCTCTCTTTAAAAAAAGTAACTTACATAGCATAGTTTCTATTTTAACATTATGTTATAACCTAAAACTATATTTAACACACTACTTAAGAAAATTAACACAGCGTAACTTTCTAACACAACACATATAATATTCATTTTAATATTTGTGAAAAGCCCATCATAAAATCTGCATTTTTCACAGTAATTGAGAGATGTTCTTTCAGAGCAGAGCACCTTTGGCCCAGTAACAGAACAGATGTGTCCAAAGCTGTGCTTGCAGCTGGCCCCTTGTGAGCAGCATTTGTGGAGGAGGCAGGGATGAGCTGTGGGTGACTGCAGAGCAGAGCTGCCCTCCCGTGGAAAGGGGGAAAATAAACCTGAGTACCTCTCATGTGTACATCTGCAGATTCTGTTCAGAATGTTAGGCCTACTTTGTGATTTATCTCTGCACTACCACCAGGTCAAATCCATCATCAGAATGTGCACTGTTGGAACCAGGAGCAGAATCTAATAATAAACTCCTGATTTTCAATATTCTTGGCATGGTAACTTTTAAAAAAAGCTCTCACACATTAAAAAAGTTCTCTCAGATTTTTACACAAACACTATTCTTTTATTTAAACCCCAAACCAGACAATTAAAGAAGCTGTAAGCTTATGTGCTGCATTAGTAATTCAATAATTCAAGAGCTTGTATTCTTGTTTAAAATTCAGCTTCATTTGCAGCCAGAGTTGGTTGCCCAGGAGAACCAGGAAGAAAAAAATTCGGTATTTGTGGTGACTTCCCACAGCTCTTGCAGAGAAACTAATCCAGGCTAACTTAGCCACAACCAGGATGCTCTTGCTTCTGGAATTTTCTTTCTAGAAACAGTTAATTCACAAAGTAACTCGGGACTGAGTGGTCATTTCTGGGAGTGTCTGTGTGGCAATGGCCCCTGCACACAGAGGTGAGAACTGTATTTGTAGGGTGCCTTGACAAAGGAGGGAATGATGCATCTGACTCCATGCTCTTAGAAGGCTAATTTATTACTTTATTATGCTATATTATATATATTAGATATGCTCGATTTATATATTTATAAAATTTATATTAGATCTATAAAATATATATATTTTATGTAAATATATAAAATTATAAATTATTTTATATAAATATAAAAATATCTTTATATATAAAATATATATTTATATTTATATATAAAATATATATTTATATTTATAGATATAAATATAAATATATAAAAGATATTTTTATATTTATATATAAATATAAATTATATATATTAGATTTATATATTTATAAAATTTATATTCTATCTATAAATAATGTTTTTATATTTGTATATTAATATATAAAATCATAAATTATTTATATAAAAAATATAAATATATTTTAATATAAAATATATTTTTATCTTTATATACATAAATATATATAAATAAATATAAATTATTTATATATAAATATATAAAAGTTATAAACTATAAATTAATATCTAGAAAGTGTATATATTTTATATTTATTATTTTATATTTTATAATTTATATATTTTATATATAAATTATATATATAATATTTATATATGTAAAGAATACTAAACTATACTAAAGAATACAGGAAGGATACTTACTGAATGCTAAAAAGATAATAATGAAAACTCATTACTCTTTCCAGAGCCCTGACACAACAATATCAGTTATGTAGTGATGAAAGGTTATTTCTGCAATTGGCCAATGAGTCAAAACAACTCACACTGGAGTCTAATAAGGCAATTACCTGTGGGTAAACAAATTTCAGACACTCTAGATGAGCACAACACAGGAGAAGCAAATGAGATAAGAATTGTTTTCCTTTTCTCTGAGGCCTCTCAGCTTCCCAGGAGAACAATCCTGGGCAAAGGGATTTTTCCAGAGAATGTGAATGGCACACGTGATGAGGAGACACCAGAGCCCTCTCCTCCAGTCTGGGGCTTCCTCCCCAGAGCAGGAGAACACCAGGTGCACCTTTTAAAGGTGCTTTGAGTCTGGGGCTTCCTCCCCAGAGCAGGAGAACACCAGGAGCACCTTTTAGAGCTGCTTTGAGTCTGGGGCTTCCTCCCCAGTGCAGGAGAACACCAGGTGCACCTTTTAAAGGTGCTTTGAGTCTGGGGCTTGCTCCCCAGAGCAGGAGAACACCAGGTGCACCTTTTAGAGGTGGTTTGAGTCAGGCTGAGCAGCAGAACCTCCTGCTCTGGCCTCTACAGGCAGTTACAAAATGTGCCTGTGGGGCAGCCCAGGGGTCACAGGGCAGGGATGTGTCACAGTTCCCACTTCTGTTACTGGACTTGGATGAAATTTAGTGGGTTTGATGTGTTTCTATTTCTTGTTCTTCTGTTAATTTCCTGTTTTCTGGTGGAAGTTACATAATTTTTGTATTTTGTGTATATTAAATAGGAGAACAGGCTGTGGGATGAGTTAGGAATGAGATTCTGCACAATGCACAAAGGTGACAGCAAGTATTGTTTCAAAGACCAGTGGGAAATTCACTGGCAGAAAGTGAGATGTGGAGTTTCTGAGATATTTAATTGCTCTACCAGTATCGTGTGGGAAAATCTCCAGGGGATTTATCAATTCTTAACAAAAAAACCCCCAAACCCCCCTCACAAAAAAAAAAAAAAATCACTATTTATACCTTCTAGTAAATACTGAAAATGAATTTCAGATAACAACACTTTTAGGGGATTCTTAAGGGAGATGCCAAGTTCAAAAATCAGATTTTTTCATCAGAACACTTGTAGCACTGTAATTTCCCAGAGCGTGTAGTGGCCCAGCCATACAAAAACTAAATCTTATTATGTGCTTCTTGTTAGAAGTTGTAGCTGGGTCTCATTTTGTAAGTTAATATCAAAACTATTTAATGGGTTTTTAAAAAAGTAAATAAATATTGGCTATGTAGTGATGAAAGGTTATTTCTGAAGACCTCCACTCACAACGGAAGTGGGATTAGTTATTTGAATAAGGGCTTCATCATGGGAGTATTTGTATTCTTTTCAAGGCAAAACCCTCTTGCAGGATTTGTCCCTAAATGATAAATAAAATAATTTATTGGTTTATAATACCCACTCAGATTGCTAAATTCAAACAGTATGACTGCATAAGTAACAGAAAACTTGGATACTGCAAACAGGAATGACCTCTGTGGATTACACCAAATCCTCAGCTCCAATTAACATGAAATAATTTTAGGGTGGTAATTTTTTTTTTTATTTTTTATTTTAGGACAGTTTGTTTTGATTTTTGGTTTTTTGGTTGGTTGTTTTTTTTTTTTTTTCTAACTGCAATTAGCATTGCAATTTTGCAATGTTTCCAAAGGAAATGCAGACAATAATTTAGTTGCTTTGGGAATACTTGCATTTTCAAAAGACTGTGGGCTTTTCCTTACCATCTGCCACCACCATTGCTTGAGACAGGCATTGGGATCTGCTCTAGCACAGAATTAATTGTTTTCTAATTGTGCCTTTTGTCTCTCTCAATTTCCAGCAATCCTTAACCCCACCTCATTCCTGTGGCACACGAGAGAATTGGTTCTATGATGAAACTTCACAAAACTGCTGTTACCAGTGTCCCTCAGGTATGTTTATAATTCAGTTTATTATTCTATAATTTATATGGAGCCCTTCTCATGGAGACAGCAGGAGCCCTGTGTCTCTGCAGAGCTGTATTTTGTCCCTGAAGAAAGGGGCAGTTTCATTAATCCCTCTCTAATGAGGCTCCAGATGTGAATCTCCTCTGCTCCTGGGCAGTCTGCATGCAAACCAGACAACCTGACAGACTTTTTGTGGGATTTTATCACTTCACTTGACACTGAAGCAGCCAGGTCAAAGAATTAATTTCAAACTTGCCTGTAAGAGCCTGAATGAGGGATGTGGGACTCCAGGGGCTCTCCAAAATGCAGTTTATTGTATCCAAAATGCAGTTTATTGTATCCAAAATGCAGTTTATTGTGTCCAAGATGTTTCAGCAGTGCAGGGTTGTGGGTGACAGAGTCTGTGCCCACAGCTGTCAGCTCCAGCTGCAGGCAGGCCTGGAGACCCTTTGGTTTTGGTTACAATGCATTCTAGACTTTTCTTTTGGTCACAATGCATTCTATACTTTTCTTTGCTGAGCATCTTAATACAGTAGAACCAATCTATACCTTAACTATTCTCTATAGCCCATCATAACTGCTATAATTACCATATTCATGTTACTGTTCTCCAATCACTACAAGTCAGTACATTACAGTTTGAGCTAGAAGTTGTTTTTCAGTTTTCTTGCAGTGGGAAATTCTGAGACCTTTTTTCTACTTGCCACATTTGCTGCCTTGTTTGCCTGTGCTCTCTTTCTGCTTGGTAAAAACATCTTCTTGTTTGGGGTGGGTTTATCCTTTGCTCTAAGCCATAAAACCCCTTCTAACTCACATATCCTTTGCCTCCTTGGTTATCCAGTGAGACTGGCTCAGCAATTCTTTTCTTCTCTACCAAAACTTGCTTCCATCTCTATTCCTTCATCAGACTCTACATTTAAAAATCTTTCTGCTAAGCACACATATCTGTGAGACTTTCTTGTCAAACTCTCATCCTTCCCAACATTTGCCCCTGGGTGTGAATTAGCACAGTGAAATTGCACTAAATTAATTTCTTCTCAGAGATAAAAAAATATAAAATGAAGGTATGGAAAATCTGACATTATTCTCACAGTCACAACAGTTTGCAAAGTGTCTCACAGGAGGGAGGAAGCAGGCCCTTGTCAGGAGCCACATTCTGCTGGCCTAGAAGCTGGCTGTGACTCAGAGGCACATAAGGTCAGCAACAGGAAACACCTTGGTGAGACAAGAGCTCTGGAAATGTCTGAAACTGCCCCACTGGCCAAAACCCCCTCAGTGGGTGGGTATTTTATTCACCACCAACTGTATCTTCTTGCAGAAGGCTTTTTCTTTTGTTTTTCTTAAAGGAAATTTCTGACCTGCATTCGTGTTCTGATAATACAGAGGGTTTTAGTGTTTGATTTAATCCAGTATTTTTATTTGCATCCAATTCCATCAGGATTCCCACTGGGATATTCTGTGCTGCTGGGCACACCCCTAGAGTCCTTCAGAAGCTGGATATGTAAATCAGAGCAAGGGATGGAGAAAATGGCCCAATAAAAGAAAAAAAAAATGGTCCAATAAAAGAAAAAAATGGGTGGGGATGTGACTATGACAGTCCCAAGAAAAGCTCTTTTCTTCTTCAAAACCAAAGCTCCTGTCATGAGGGATGTCATGGTAAGGCTGGGTGAGAAGCAGAGATCTGATTTACACCAGGCTGTAATGAGTTATTTACACCAGGTTGTAATGAGTTATTTACACCAGGCTGTAATGAGTTCACCTTTGCTGGTTCTTATTGCTACATCCCCATGTCAGTCCTGGACCCCTCCACAATAAAAGTTTTAAGAATCATTTTCCACCTTAATCATCCTTACTCCTTCAAGCAATAACCTGTTCAAATCTGCCACCAACTCAGCGGCTCACTGCAAAGAAAGAGGAGCTTTTCTAAAACTCCTTTTAATAAAATGAAGAAAAGAAGGAAACATGAAACCCAGCTCCCTGGGAGCTTGGGAGTGGCAGGACAGTGGCTCTCAGGGAGCTTGCTTGTCTTTTCTGCCAGCAAATCTCTTGTCACCTGCCCATTCCACAGCAGTCCAGTCCAGCTGGGACTGTCCTGGCCCTGTTCCTTAACACTTGAATGGGAAAGGCAAAAATGTCCCAGAGAAACCAAATAACTAAGAGTAAAACTGTGGTAATGTGTCTAACAGGTAAACAAGCAGACAAGAACATTTCAGGATGGTTTTCTGCCCATTTTGGATATATTTTGCCTTTTTTTTTTTCTTTCTCCAGGCTATGTTAAAAAGAAAGCATGTCCTCAGGATCCAGCTGCAGACTGCATGACCTGTGGACCTGATCAGTACCTGAACAATAAATCCAAAAAGCCACAATGTGATGCCTGTGTGTCATGCTCAAAAGGTTTGCTTTTCCCCACACATACCTCACAGTTACATTCTCTCTCTGTATATTTTCACTTAATTTTTGTATTTTATTCATTTAGAATTTCCACAGCAAAATTATCTATCCTTGGTTACTGAGTTAGACTGCAGAATGTCACCTTGCACTTAATCCATGTTACTGCCTGTGTCACCTGGGACTAAAAATTCTCCCCTTCAATGCTATTCCAGTCTGGTTTCTGCTTTCTGTCTTATATTACAAGCTATTATCTACAGTTCCTCTAATTATTCATTGTGGTCTTTGTGAGGTTTCTAGGATGAGGGAAGAGATGAATCTGACTCCATGTTCTCAGAAGGCTGATTATTATATTATATTATATTATATTATATTATATTATATTATATTATATTATATTATATTATATTATATTATATTATATTATATTATATTATATTCATTAGCTATACTAAAACTATACTAAAGAAATAGAGAAAGGATACTTACAGAAGGCTTAACAAGAATGAATAATAAAAACTGACTCCTCAGAGCCTTGACACAGCTGGCTGGTGATTGGTTATCAAGTTAAAACAATTTACATGAAACTAATCAAACATTCACCACTTGGATAAACAATCTCCAGACCACATTCCAAAGCAACAAAACAAGGAGAAGCAATCAGGTAATTATTGTTTTCATTCTTCTCTGAAGCCTCTCAGCTTCCCAGGAGAAGAAATCCTGGCAAAGGGATTTTTTAGAAAATATGACAGTGACAAGAGACAGCACCTTCTCCTGCTATCCTGAGCCTTTGAGCTGGTGCTGTTCAGCTTTGGCCACAGTTTACATTTCCCTTACAAGGTGCTCTATTGGAATAATTACCAATATTGCAGACGGGACGTGCCTGAGCTTGTCTGGCCCTTGGTGCTGAACCAAACAGCGGCAACTGGTGTTTCACCCCAGAGACACTTTTGGCAGGCTGGGTGTGTGGTGTTTCACCCCACAGACACTTTTGCCTGGCTGGGTGTGTGGTGTTTCACCCCACAGACACTTTTGGCTGCCTGGCTGTGTGGTGTTTCACCCCACAGACACTTTTGGCTGCCTGGCTGTGTGGTGTTTCACCCCAGAGACACTTTTGGCTGGCTGGGTGTGTGGTGTTTGACCCCACAGACACTTTTGGCTGGCTGGGTGTGTGGTGTTTCACCCCACAGACCCTTTTGGCTGCCTGGGTGTGTGGTGTTTCACCCCACAGACACTTTTGGCTGCCTGGGTGTGTGGTGTTTCACCCCACAGACACTTTTGCCTGCCTGGGTGTGTGGTGTTTCACCCCTCAGACACTTTTGGCTGGCTGGTGCTGCAGTGGGCACTGCAGACAAGTCCAGGCCTGCAGGAGCTCTGGTGGTGCTGGGATGCAGCTTCCCCCCATAACAGGGGCTGCTCCTGGGGTTTCCCTCTGGCAGAGAAGCTTTAAGGCAATGGTGAAGGAAAGGAGTCGGTTCTGATGGAGGGTTTGGATCCAGAGCTTTATTCTGGCCCACAGAATGCAGCACCAGCTCCAACAGAACTCCCTGAGCCCGTGGTTGCTGCTCCTTTAACCCCGGGGAGAGGGGCAGGGAAGGGGCAGGGAGGCACCAAGCAGGGACAGGAGGGGAGGGACAAAGGGACAAAGGACACCTGGATGGCCCAGGGCCCCCCAGGGGTAGAGGGCATCCTTTGGATCTGCCAATCCCTTCTGGAATGCCAGGACTGCCAGACAGTGCTGGGAGGGGAAAGGAAAGGGGACTGACACACCCTGCAGGGAATTATCAGGGCAGGGGCCCGAGGTTCTGAGGTAAACCCTGAAATCACAGCACAACATGACTCCCTTGTCCCTGTGTGTGTTTCCTGCCCCCAGACCTGGTGGAGAAGCAGCCGTGCTCCCTCAGCTCCAGCCGCGTCTGTGAGTGCCGGCCCGGCCTGTTCTGCCAGCTGCCCGTGGTGGACAGCTGCTCCCGCTGCCAGCAGCACTCTGCCTGCAAGCCTGGCTTTGGGGTCAAAACCAGGGGTAGGAATCCCACCTGTGCACTTTACCTGTCCTGTCCTGGCCATAGGCCTGGACTTGATGCGTTTTATTTGGTCCTCAGTTGTGATTTTTAATCAGGCACCTCAACAAATGATGTGACTTGTGAAGAGTGCCCTGCTGGGACCTTCTCTGATCAAAGCTCCAGCACTGACATCTGCAAACCCCACACCAAGTAAGTCTGTGCTTCTTTAATGGCACTGGCTAATTGAGTGAAATTAATGAAGGATGAAACTAGGTATGTCACTTCTAGTGCAAAGTACACAAATTCATCCTTGAAGCAAGGGAATCACTATGGGCTCATGTGCAGAGGTTAGAAGGCCTCTCTTTGTACCTGTGGAAAGAAGAAAGGAAATTTCAAGGAAAGGAAAGGAAATTTCAAGGAAAGGAAAGGAAATTTCAAGGAAAGGAAATTTCAAGGAAATTTCAAGGAAAGGAAAGGAGAAGGAGAAGGAAGGATTCCTGCTTGCCTCATTTTTAGTTTACTAAGTACAGTGGAATTGCACACCTGTGTGAGTAGCAGCTTTGCACAGGCCAAGAATTAATGCCACAGGGATGAGAAGAATAATGACTTTTACACAGAAAGCAATAATTGTGGTTGGTACAAAAATGACCAAGGGGATGTTTGTCACATGGCAAACACGTGTGCCTTGTACCTGTTCTTTTTCACACCCAGCTGTGCCAAGTTGAACAAAGTCACCCTAAGGAAAGGAAATGCCACACACGATCAAGTTTGCCTGGAGCAGCTGCCCACTTACCTCACCCCAAGCACTTTGTCCATGAGATTCAGCAATGAAACAAATAACTTTGACCTGAGGATGGTGAAGGAGAACCTGGTGACCTCTGCTAGTGGTGACCTTCTAAGTGTTACAACAGCCAAAAATCCCAGTTCAACTCCTGAGGAGAAAGCTCAGGCTCCCACCTCAGCCAAGGGGGAGATGACAACAGGAGGTAACACAGACACAGCATTTACTCTCTTTTAACTCATTTAACCTTACTCATTTAACATTTACTCTCTCTAGCACTTTTTATTTGGAAATATCTTTGGTAAACACAATTTTTATGTGGGAACTTCCTGCAAATCCCCTCTGCCTGGTGAAATGATGCCTATGGTCCTATGTTCAAACACGTGGATCTACTCAGGGCTTTGCCTTTTCTCAGCCTGTCCTGTGCTCCCTCTCTGTGCTGCAGGTGTGGTGCTTTGGGCAGTGGTTCTCTCCCTGGGAGTGCTTCTTGGGGCCATGCTGGTGTTTTGGAAATGGAAGGTTTGCAAGAAGAGGATCCTCGTCCTCAGGAGAAAGCGTGAGTTTTTCAAGCTGTAACACTGGATCTGCCAAACAGCAGATGGGAAACTCAAATATGGGGATATTTCTGGAGGTCCTTGGGGAAGGGAATGTTCTCTACAGGCCAGATAAGGGTTTAGGGCAAGCTGCTCATGCAGGATGTTGGAGAACATGAAAGATGTGAATTTAGGGAGGGAAGCAGGTGGGTGATGTACAAGAGGGGAAAAGGTAACCAGCTGTTTCTTCTCTCAGACATTAGTATTAAATTTGTATCAGTATTGTCAGATGACAATGACAGTATTAGTAGTAGTATAAATTAGTATTAGTATCTCAGGCATTAGTATTAAATGATGCCTGAAGTGTTGTGTGAGTAGGTTTTGGTTCTGGGAGCAGAGCTGGGCTTTGGGCATGAGAGGAAGGGTGATTTTACTGACACTGACTTTGCCTGGAGTTACATGCGGGGTGTGTCTGCAGAACCACGTTCCCTCTTTTCTAGAAAGCAGGCTGTGCACCTGGTAGGTTGGTTGGTTGTAGATCTGTGGGTATGGGGAAGCTGTTGGAGCCTTCAGGCTCCACGGTGAGTTGGACTAAATGAAAGTTTCTTTTATCAGCACACCTGCATTCGGTCATCGCACACAAATACGTGCTCAAGTCTCCAGGTGAGTGACTGAGGGGCCAGCAGTGCCATCCTTGTGTCTGAAGAGTAAAGAGATAGCTGTCACCACATTTCTCCTCACAGAGAAAAGCAAGGCACAGTTCTTCCCAAGAATATTTCTGGGTTTCACATTCTCTGAACCTCAGAGAAAGACAAAACAATTGTTATCTCATTTAGTGTGCCTGTGTTTGTTCACAAGTGGAATGCATGGTGGAAGATGGTTTACCTGAAGGGAATTGATCAATTACTTGAAGGGAATTGATGAATTACCTGAAGGGAATTGATAATTGGATTCTGGTGTGAGTGTTTTGATTCACTGACCAGTTGGATCCAGGTGTGTGTGTGTTGGGACTGTTGGCTGACAGTCATGAGATGCTGTGTAGTTGAGTGCTTGGCAGATTCAGTTTAGATGTAATGTAACATAGTGTAATTTAATATAGACTAATATAGTATCATAAAGTAATTAATTGGCCTTCTGATAAGATGGAGTCCTCCTCCTCATTCCTCTCCTTCATTAGGGGGAAAATATCTACTATAAATAGCTTAACGTGGGATTTTATTTTACAGAATTTTATAAAAACTGGAAGCTTCTCATGTCCCATGCCAGTCCCTGCTGCTGTCCCATGCAGGAGGCCAGTGCTGCTGCTCCTGAGCTGGGTGTGAGCAGGTGCCAGCAGATGGCACTTTGTCCCCACTGCTGCTGAGGCGTTGATGTGTCCGTGCTGGAAAACGCCTGATTGATTTCAATCAGTCAAATCTGGGAGATTGTTCAGAAAAAAATCCTGCCCACATCCCATAAAGTGCAAACATTTTACCCATTTAGCTGATCCCCTCTCAGCAATTCCACTGACAGAGCTATTCTCTGTTGTGTCAGGTTCTAATCACCACACAGCAGAGCTTTCTATATTCATCAATTCAGGAATACAATTTAAAACTCTGGTGTGCAGCTTAATTTTCTCAAAATGGGATTTTTTTCTCCCTCACTTGCCTTGCACAATAAAAACTGTCACTGTGCAGCATTACAGAGCTGATGCTCTGAAAATAAAGGTGATTGCACATCAGGGTGTAAGTAGACAGTAAGGCTGAGCCTCCATGGTGCTCAGGGTGTTGTACACTCCCTCCTTCTCACCTCTTCTTTGCCCAGTGCTCCCTGCTAATGGAACTGTGCATAAAATCCCACCCCCTAATAATCCTCTGACAATATGATGAACTGACCTGACTGGTTAATCCAGTAGAAAGTTATTAAATACTTTTTTTCTTTTTAATAAGCTTGTATTGTTCTTATCTAGACAGTTTCATCAGTTCATTTTTTCATAAGATGGGTACCAGTTGTGGTGTGGGGACAGTGATGCAAGAGGCTTTGGGGACAGCAGGATATCACAGTCTTGGCAGGATCCTGTTGCTGGTTCACCTCAGGAGTGTGAGGTGAACCTGGGTTTTCATTTCAGTGTGCCCTGAGTTTTAAGAAAACCATCATGCACATGGGGTGGTTCAGGAAGTACATTGTTAGGTGATCTTTCAGAGCATATATTAACATTCTTAATAATAATAATAATAATAATAATAATAATAATAATAATAATAATAATAATAATAATAATAATAATAATAGTAATAATAATAATAATAATTCTTAATAACCTCATAAAATATTTGTGAGGTTTCTTCTGATAATGTTTTTCCTTTCCATTGCAGGCTCGGATCTCGTGAACAAATGTGCAGTAAGTGTGAACAATATTCCACAACAGATCACTTTCCATGCCAAAGTCAATCATGTTCTTTTCAAATGTCCAGTCTAAAAAGTGCCAGCCTTTTAGTTTGGACTTCCCTCTACAATATATAATAATTTAGGTGGGATGAGATGTATTAGGAGTCGATATTTTCATGTCTTGAACTGAGGTTAATGTGGTGTTAAATAATGTCATAGTTGAGATGGTCACAATACAAAGCAACTCTCCATTTTCAGAAGGCTTCAAACTGTTTTCATTATAGCATGCATGCTTTTTATACATTCTTACAAAACTCCTAAGTTTACACTTTACTCATTGGTCAGGAAAGACAAACAAAGTGCTCATTGGAATAGGCATTTGCAGGTTTCTCTTATTTATCCTTCTTTCCCTCTGGAACCTAGAATAGACATTTGCAGGTTTCTCATATTTATCCTTCTTTCTTCCTGGAACCTAGAACAGACATTTGCAGGTTTCTGTAATTTATCCTCCTTTCTTTCTTGGTTTCTATGTCAACAACCTTGGTAGAAAATTCTTTCAAGAGTGAACATGGATCCTCTTCTCAAACTTCTCTCTGGCTGACAGAAGTTGCAGTAAAACCTCTTCCACAGCTGCCAATCTTTTTTTGTTGTTGTTTTGTTTTGTTTTAAATGAGTTTGCTTTTAAATGTTGTGCACCTGCACACACAGAAGATATTGCTTTTTCCAGTCTGGTTGCAATCAGCTGTCATAATTTCAGTGTGGAATTGTTAATTCCTGAATTGTGAGGAGCTTCAATTCTTGCCTCTATAGAGAGTCAGACATGAGCAAGGATTATAAAGTGCACATTTCAATTTTTTTTTTTTCCTTTCCCAACCTTGTGGAAACAGAAGAAGATCAGAACCTGCACAAAATTGTGAAAAAATGTGAAGGGTTATAAAGTGCTCATTTCAAAATCTTGTTTTCCTTTCCCAACCTTGTAGAAACAGAAGATCAGAACCACCAGAAAATTGTGATTTACCCTCTCTCAGATTTTGGTTCCTCTTTTAAAGAACTGCTTGTTCTTAATTCTTGTATATAATTAATTCTTGCTTGTGATTAATTCTTCATGTGTTAGGTATTCTGAGCTTGTTTCTTCTCTCTGACATTCTGCTGTGGCAATTGCATTTTGAAGTTAAATCAGTTTGGCCTCTGGCTTGCTCTATTCTTCCATAGGAACATGATAGGTCTTTGCAAAGTTTAAGAGGCAACTAAAACATATTTTCTTCAGTGGAAATGAGGTACATTCCTGAAAATGTCATCAGAAATCTGTGGATTCAGCTTAGAACCACTATTTTGAAGTATGGTCTTGAGTGATGCAGGGAGTTTGAAGTTCCTGCATCTGTTGGGTACTTTGGAACATTCCTCTCCCTGTGACAGTGCTGGGAAGCCCATTCTGTTATCCTGACTGCCACAGGAGGATTCTGTGGACCTGCTGCAATGTCCAAGGTGTTTTTACACCCACCCCACTCCTGCTCTCCTGTTTCTATTGGCAGAAGATCATACTGACCACTGAGGGTGGGCTGGAAGAGGAGGAGCTGATTGACAGAGCCCTTCCTTTGGAAACCAACAATAACTTGGTGTCCAGCCCAGAAAAAGCCCCGAGTCCTCACTGGAGTGTGGCTGAGGTGACACCAAGCAGTGGCAATGCCCCAGAGTGCCCCGTGGATCCTCGAGTCAGAGACCACACAAATAACAGAATTGGTGAGTCTTGCTTTCTTTTATTTCCTTTTGTCATCTTCTTTTTTCAAATCTTTAAACATGGCACTTACTGGCATTACAAGATTATTAGTAAACTTCAGTGTCCAGATCTCCTAACAAAGATTGTGCTGAATCTCCAGATCTTTGACACAAAAATACCTATTCCTTGGAATATAATGCTTTCTTTTTCTTCATCTTTGTCTTAGTCACTATGAATTTGACAGAAAATTCCCTTCTTCCACCTTTTCATTCTGGAATATGTAGATTTACAGAAGAAAATTGAATATGTCAGCTGGAAGATGATGCTGTCATACTGAAGGAGAATTGTACTTAGCTGTAATTTTCTTCTCTGGTTTCATAATAATGGCTTGAAATGCATCTCCCATGTGTTCCCATGAAGTCTTTGACCATGGCACAGGGTGGGACAGAAATTCAGGCAAGGAGCTCATTCACAGGGGGTGAATTCTTTCCTGGGACACCACCTGCATGAGACATTCTGCAGTGCTTCCAAAGCCAATTCTGAGGTTATTTGAAGGTGTTATTTTTTCATATTACAAAACCTGACCTTTCCTTACTAAACACCCTTCCTGTTTTTACTGTGAGTTATGGATTGGGATGAATGTGATGGTTTGATTTACCATATCCAAATATCTCCAAGCAGTTAACCTGCAGTGTCTGATGTGCAGCATCCTTCTGAATTAAGCCACTGAAAAGGCTTTATTGTCCTTTCTGTGAAGGAGTACAACAACAAGCTGGACCCATAATTCAGAAAATTTTGTAGTTTACTCTCAGCTAGAAAGAAACTAATTTCTTTGCAGGTCCTAAGAACCCAGAACTTCTGTGCAGTGCTGATCTTTACCCAAAGGTATCTTTTATATGGTGCTGTTTCTTGAAACAGCGGGAGCATAAACCTTGGATTCTGTAGATCCCAATTAGTTGCTTCTTCTAACAGATCCCTGTGAATATCTTCTGCCTTTTCCACTTTGTTTTTCTTGTGTAGCTCCACCTCTAGCTAAGTGGCTTAACCCCATGGAAGCACAATCTGCTTGATGTGAAATAATAAAAATGTTGCATGAAAAACCAGCCATTTCTGGGGCAGCAGTGACTGCTCACCATGCTCAGCACTACTTTTTTCCCTCCTCAGAAAAACTCTACATCATGAAGGCCGACACTGTTATCGTGGGGTCTGTCTCAGAAGTGCCCAGTGGCAAGAACTGTGCTGTTAAAGGATGTGAAAATACCCTTGATGCCCAGGAAAGCACAGAGGAGGAACTGGAAATGCACTACCCAGAGCAGGAGACAGAGTCCTTTCCAGGGAATGATGTAATGGTGCCTGTGGAAGAGGAGGGAAAGGAATTTCACCACCCTACCACTGCCACTGAGAAGTGACAGCCCACAGAGAGGGAAGACACAGAATCATCCAGAGTGACACTAAGGCTGAATTTGTGACCAGGGAGGTGCACACACTGTGCCTTAGGTTATTGGGAAACTCCTGGGAAACACTGAAACACATTCAAACAGGGAGAGTTGGAACCTATTTCATCTAACAAAGGGCAGGATCATCCAAACTGCTGGCCTTCATGGCTGACATCAAATGCTTCCATTTCCCTGTCTCCCAGTCTCATACTGACCACAAATTTGAATCAAAGCTGCCTAATTTAGAGGACATCTGGATGTCAGCTGAAGTTTCACAGCTTGCTTTCTCACTGTGAAGGAATGGATTGAAATCTGTGTCTGGTTACTTCTATTAGCTGTGAAAATTCTGGCCAGGATATTCTGAATCAAGCTTGAGACTCGGCCTTGTTGTTTCTACTCCAACACATTAAATTTTGTAATATATTTTGCAACATCTGGCATTTACTCAAGGCTTCAACTTTTGATTGAAAATGATAATAATCTCAGTTTTCCCTAGCATAAACAGAACTCTCAAGTTTGTGGATTTCATGTTTCTTCAGGAATTAGGATCAAAAGGTGCCACACAGGCTCTGAAAATAGAAGGCAAATAAAATTAATTGACATCCACTGTACTTTAGGCCATTCTTTCTAGGTTTTGAAGTCCAATTCTTATTTTTTTGACTACATCAAATCATTAGTAAGTGTACAAAACAGCCTCTTCTCATGGAAGCCAAACTGCCTGAGCATCTGGCTATTGGATGAACTATGGGTTAAGCCCAATGTGGAGGCTGTAAAAAGAGAAATGAAGAAAAGAAACTATTTTTCTACTGAAAAAGAGGCACAGCAATTATTTCCTATAACATTGTTAAAATCTACTTGTTTTAGAATTGTTCATAATCATCAGGGTGACACTGATTTGCATTTCCTTTAAAAACAAACCTCTTTGGTGGCCAAGTGGCCTGTGTTATGCTATTTTTAAATCTTTAGTGCTGCTTGTTCAGTAACTGTAAATGTAATAGAGCTGACTACACTTTTGCACAGGCCAATGGAAAATGAGCAATATGACAAAGTGTGTCTTAATAATCAGAAAAAGGAACCACAAAAGCCATGACTGGCTCTGTAGTTTTGTCCTGCTCAGACAGTGGTGCAGCTGCAGTGACTCCTGCCTCAGAGGGAACACCAGGGCACAGAAACCCCTTCTTGGGCCAGGCTGGAGCTTGAGCCCAACATTTCAGCTCTGGCAGTTGCAGGAGGGATTGGTCAGGAGCACCATAGCTGCTGTTTGCATTCATCATGGCTCTGCAGATGTCAAAGAGTTTGATTTATTATTCTCTTATATCACCATTAGTTTTTCTTCTCTCTTTTGAATTTCCAAGTACAATCTGCCTCCACAAACACCTGTGGCAAAAGATTACAGCTATCATGCACTGTATAAAGGACTTTTAGCACTTTGAAACTGGCCCTCTTTATTTCAGTGAATGTCACTAGCTCTTGCCTTACAGAAGTCAGTGAATTGCTTTTTATTTTTTTTTAACCTAGTTGCTTTTGTGATTGATTGTATCTCAGCTTTGATTGAACTAAGCCTCCAGGTTGAGTTCCCATATTTTCTTTTTACTCATGTAAGTTTGATGCTCCACTGCCTTGGTCACTTTAGTTGACCTTTTCCACATCTACTTTAACTTCACTACATATTTCATTTTGGAGAACACCAATGTGTGAATCCACAAACTGAATAACCACATTTACCTGGCTGTGATTGTTTGGGGCTGTTCTGCAATGACTGTAATCGTGTATTTCCACTCTGTATATTAATTAATCTTTTTTACTGGAACAACTTTCTAAAAGAACCATATGCATTGCAACCTGCTGGATGTGTTATAGTTAGTTGGTTTAATAATGCTGGATGTGTTATAGTTAGTTGGTTTAATAATGCTGGTAATCTCTGAATTAAAAATTACATGGGTTTGAAGCGATGGCCATGCTTTTCCAGTTTGATATGTAAATGTTAAATTGTTGATGATTTCAGTCTCAGGAGTTTAAAATTTAGGCTGGATAAGCAAAGGTTCAGTGAAATCAGGTGAGGATGTCAGAATGTGCATTGAACCTGGAATTACACAGTGATCTTTTAAGGAGTATGGGGTGCTACAATGAGCTGATAATATATTAAAATAATTATTTCATCTGTTTCTCACTAATTTTTAATTCAGCTCTGGTTTTAAGGTGAGAGTGTTTTGAACCTGATTTGCTGAACACCTTGCAGTGGATTTTTGCAAGAAAGCCATTTGAAGCTCACAGAGTTCTTAGTGGATTAGAGTTTTTCTCAGGAGCAGGGCTGAATTTATTGTAAAGTCTGTCTGTACCATCCTGGCTGCATGTGACACACGAGTGTCTGGTGTTAATGAGTATTAATGAATTTTGGAATGCTGCAAAGGTAACTTCGTACTGTGGGGTGAAGGAGTTGCACTTTGCTGATCCAACTCAGAATTCTATGAAGGGGCTGAAGAGACCTCCAGACATGCTGTGAGACAGAGTGGAAATTTTCCAGAGTAGAAATCCATTTTGATTTAGGTGAAATGTACATCTTTGAATTAAGTCTGTAGCTTGCAAACAGCTGTTTGGTCTGACTGATCCTACAAAAAACTTGTGCTGGAAGAAACTGCTTCAGTCAAAGGACAGAGATAAAGGAGAAGCCCCTTGAGCTCTGAAATGGACACACAGAGGCTGATGCAGAAAGCAAGGTCAAAATGAGCCAGGAATTCTTTATGATAAAGAAAAAAATAGCAGCAAAATCAGTAAAATGAATATGTATGAACCTATTGTGAAATTGCGTGCATATGTATTTGAGAGGGAGATACAAAAGGATCTGGATTTCCCAGAGCCACGCATGTCCTGTTAAAGGGAACGATCCCCACGTGCGTCCAGCGCTGTAATAAACACAGCGGCTTCAGAACTGGCGCAGGGGTTGTGGAGTTCGTTCGTTTCCGCAATCCGAGCGCCCGGAGCGAGCGGCGCCGCTGCCCGCCCGGGGGAGCCGCATCCTCGGGGCGGCGCCTGCGGGGCCGGGCCCGCCCGGGCGCTCTCGGCGGCGATGGGGCCGCGCCGGCCGCTGCTCCTGGAGCCCCTCCCGGCGCTGATCCCGGCGCTGATCCCGGTGTTGATCCCCGCGCTGATCGGCGCCGCAGCCGGGCGGGTGAGCGGGGCCGGGCGGGGCCGGGGCGCTGCTCCGGGGTTGCTGCTCCGGGGATGCTGCTCCGGGGATGCTGCTCCGGGGATGCTGCTCCGTGGTTGCTGCTCCGGGGATGCTGCTCCGGGGATGCTGCTCGGGGATGCTGCTCCGGGGATGCTGCTCCGGGGATGCTGCTCGGGGATGCTGCTCCGGGGATGCGGGAGCGCTGCAGGGCGGGAGCGCCGCGGGGGAAAGGCCGGCGGGCATCGCCTGGTGATGCTGCCCTGGAGGCAGCGTCTCACTGCTGTGTGTGTGCTCCGTTTGTCACCTGTCTGCCCCTTGTCACTTGTCTGTCCCTTGCCCCCTGTCCCTTGTCGCCCGTCTGTTCCTTGTCTCCTGCTCCTTGTCACCTGTCCCTTGCCTCCTGCCTCTTGTTGCCTGTCTGTCCCTTGTCACCTGTCTCTTGTCTCCTGCTCCTTGTCTCCTGCCCCTTGTTGCCTGTCTGTCCCTTTTCTCCTGTCCCTTATCACCTATTCCTTGTCTCCTGTCCCTTGTCACCTGTCCCTTATCACCTGCCCCTTGTTGCCTGGCTGTCCTTTCTCACCTGTCCCTTGTCTGTCCCTTATCACCTGCCCCTTGTTGCCTGGCTGTCCTTTCTCACCTGTCCCTTGTCACCTGTCCGTCCCTTGTCACCTGTCCCTTGTCATCTGTCTCTTCTCTCCTGCCCCTTGTCACCTTTCTGTCCCTTGTCTGTCCCTTGTCACCTGTCTGTCCCTTATCACCTATTCCTTGTCACCTTTCTGTCCCTTGTAACCTGCCCCTTGTCACCTGTCTGTCCCTTGTCACCTGTCCCTTGTCACCTGTCTGTTCCTTGTCACCTCCGTGCCCCCGGGCTTGGGCTGGATTCCCCATGATCTCTACAGCAATCTCAAGTCCCGCTCTTAAAACTTCAAAGCTCAGCCTTTGTCTGTGCTGTTGTTACTCCTTGGCTTCCCAAAGGAATGACTAATAAGTTTTCCTGGATTTTCAGCGGAAATAGGTTGATTTTGCAGGCTTATTTGAATGTTTGTAAAAACCATGGTGAGCATCCTGGCGAGTGCAGAGTGCAGACCCAGATCTATATGACATTGTTTACACAGGAAGAATTGTTCTGCTCTGTTGGTTCCCTAGAACTCTTCCCTATTAAAGCAGAAAACCCTTTTAATTTGCATGAAGATCTGATGTGCTGCAGCTGTTACTGTGCTATTCTATACCCAGCTGCTGCAGCACTGTTTGGCAGTGAGGGTTTGTAACTGTGCCAGCCAAAGAGCTCAGTGGGATCTGTTTGCCTTCAACTCGGTGTTTTCTGTACTGGTGTATTGATAGGACTTTTCTGTCTGGTTTTAAAATGTGCAGGATTGTGAAGATAAATATGGAAATGTTGCTGAGATGTCCAGGTCTCTGTGTTCTTATGGGATATTTATGTTATTTACATGTTTATTTATTCATAGGAATTTAGGCTGGATAAGCAAAGGTTCAGTGAAATCAGGTGAGGATGTCAGAATGTGTACTGAACCTGGAATTACACAGTTGTCTTTTAAGGAGTATGGGAATGCTACAATGAGCTGATAATATATTAAAATAATTACTTTAACTCACTAATTTTTAATTCAGCTCTGGTTTTAAGGTGAGAGTGTTTTGTACCTGATTTACTGGGCACCTTGCAGTGGATAGGAAAAAGCAGATAGAGAAGGGATAATCTCAGAATTGTAGCAGAACTTATCACCAGAATTTAAGTTTGTCACGTTTCATGCTAAGCACGGGGCTTTGGTTCAAAAGGAATTTGCTG